GTATATTTTATAATGCATTCGTGTTTTGATTATATCACTAGAAATTAAGTCTCGAATTCATTTGAGTTTTTCTTGTATTTTGAAATTATATTTTTTTTACTTTTTTACCACGTTTTCCGGGCTTTTCATTAAAGTTTTCATTTCCTGATTGTTTCTCAAATCAACGATTGATTTGTGTAACAGTATTGTCACAAGAGATTAACTTTTATTGCTTTTAATATTGTCTATCTTTTACTAAATTTCAATTGTTATTAAGTAAAGCGTTGAATGACTTCTTTTAGTGTTTTATTATTTAATTTCAATGATTTTTATATTTAAAAACCAAATTTTTTGGTTTTAGTTTTGTTTTGTTTAACGACATATAATTTATTTAAATGATTACTTGAATTCAATTGAAATAATTATACGTGAATTATATGAATATAATATTATTATAATAATACAAATGTATTTCATATGATATAAATGTTAAACAAAAAATTATATTTAAGAATGGATTTTCATTGGACTCACGAAACGTCTTAAACACAGAGATTATTGACTTCTTCTCTCTTTTTGCACAAACAGTTCATAAGAAGTAGAACTCATAAGAACTCACATTTCAGTCATTATATAACACATATAAATATAAGTCTGGTATTATTTAAAGAGATCTAAATTTAGAAATTTGTTTCATTTTATTTTATGAATAAATGATTAACTTTTTTGCTTTTTTATTACATAAATAGCACATATATTTTTGCTCGTCGTTTATATTTACATTTCATTTTAAAATTTTTGCTAATTTTTGAATAAAATGATAAAAAATTGTATTTTTAAAATCATCGTTTTTATCGCATATACTTTTTAGGTAATATACTTATATACAGTTTACATTGCATTGAGTTTTAATTTCAATGTTTATCAAAATACAATTGTACTTAGAATTTATTTTAAATAAAGTTATTTTAATATTTTGTATATTTCTTTGCTTTGAAAAATACTTATGATTGACGGTATGTTATTAATTGATAATATATTTATAAAAATGCTTTAATGAAATAAAATGTAATAATTATTAATATTGAATTACAACGTTATATTGTTACATTTTAAGTTAAAATTTTTAACATTATATCTAACTTTACATTGATTTAAAATTAACAAGAATTTTTAGGATGTTTATTAAATAAACTATGTAAATTGATGATCTTATTGTTCTACATGAGTAATTTGAGCAAATTGTGTTTTGCATATAATATAATTAAAAATTATTTTCTATAAATGTGTGACATTTCGGAAACAAATTAACAACTCGTGTGTAAATTAATATCACATAAATGTCAAAATATTTATAATTAATGTGAGACAATATAAAGTATTAAATGTTGTTTTTATTTTGTTATTATTCATGATTTAATATTAATTCTTATAATAATTTTATTTTACTTCACTTTGAATTATCCAAAAAAGGTTTTTCATTGAAATTTTATCATTTTCCCAAAACTATTTAAACTTTATCATTTAGTTTAAATTTTTTGTAATTATTTTTAGTAAAATATATTATAATTATAAAGTTAATAGCAAATATTATAAAACTTAATTTACATTTTTTAAACAAATGAGACTATATTATACAGTTTTAATTTAATACTATAATTACTAAGAATTATTTAACAATTAATAAATTATATGATATATAAACAATTTCAAATATTTATGAAATAATTTGATCCCTTATTATCTCAATTATATTGACCAAAGTTGTTATAAATTATGTTGAAATCTCAATAATTTATTTATATTTACTTAAAAATTACAATACAATTAAATTATATGAAAATTGCATAATTGAGTTGTTTGTGATTATTATAATTATAACGTAAATAATAATTATTACAAATGATTTGACTAACGGATTGATTTAATAAAATAATATTACTATTGCTGTTTATTTCGAAATTAAAATTGTCAACATTTTCTATCATCTCAATTTTTAAATTTGAAAAACTATATTAATTGCAACATTTCTTTAGTTTTCTCATTTTAAGGAATTTATTAATTAAATATAATATTATTTCATAAGCATTATAATTTTTGCGTCCTTTTTGTGTCATTTTTTAATGACTATTTGTGATCAGTTGTCCTTTTTTAAGAGGATTTTTGGTGATCAGTGATCACCCTATGACAGATATACAGTGGCCGCCAAAACGAAAAAGTACACTGTATCAAACGTTACTACTGTATATCGAATGTTCATTGTATAGAAAATTTCTATAATAAAAATCACACAGAAATTTTTTAGGAACTTCTTGGTAGTTTCTTACAATTATAATAAATCTATCATTCTGCTCACTATTTCCAATACAATCATTCATTTAGGTCACTTTTATTACCTTAATCTTAATAATCAATATTATAATAAAGTAAGAAATGTTAAATTTTGCATTCAATTGGATGTCAATATTGGAAACATGATTATTATTAATGTTATAATTTTCTATAAATGTAATAATAATTCCCATAAATCACTTCATCACAAACAATGTGACCCTAAATAACAATAACATATTATTATGTAATTCTAATCTTTAATTCCTATACAACAAGAAATTTTTTCTTAAAATATTCTTTTGGTAAATAAAAAGCAATTGAAATATAATCTAATAAAATATATTCTTTCGATAAATCATAATAATGTAATAATAATGTAATTGTAGTTTGAATTGATTTTAAAAAGTCATTAGTTTTATAAAGTATTACTGAAACCAATTTATTTTTTCTATTGATTTTTCTTCTAAATAGTAAACCTTTAAGTGTTTTTTGTTTTCAAAAATAAACCCCAAATTTTGTTGAGCATCTCTATAGTTGACCCTAAAATAAAATTATGTAAAAATGGTGTCAAAATTTACTAAATATTCAATAAATTCATATTTTTCTATAAAATTATAAGACATTTGATAATATTGTAAAATCTATTGAAATTTATGTATACATCAACTGTTGAGCACCAGAAAGCATAACTACTAAATCGTTATTTGATTTATTTATTATAATTTAAATATTATTATTAAAAATTAAATATGTAAAATTCTAACTACTTAATTTATTAAAACAATAACTCTCAACTAGTTCATTTGCAATGTTAATTGTTTAAGTGTATAAATTAAATTAAAATAATTCACGTTTAAATTTGTTTGTATCAATCAATACATTTGAAATTAAAGTTTGCATATAATTAAACAATCATTATTTTAAATTCAATTGAATTAAATATTAAATAAATGAATAAAATATTGAATTAAATATTTTAACAATAAATAATTAATTTTCTAATTTAATATGTAAGCCATAAGTTTATTAATACTTGTTTTTTATTAAAACTTATAATCAATTCTCTGATATATTAGAAATAATTTCTAAATTTTAAATATCAAAAACAAATGAAGTAAAAACAATTAAAAATAATTTTTGTTTGTTAAGACAAAAGTCAATTAAATATTCTTGAGAACAAATCAAACGATAATTTAAAACATTAAAACCAATGATTAAATTCAGATTCTTTGACCCATTTGTATACACTTTGATCTTTCAATTGGATAGGAGTCTCACAACACAATTATTTCTCATTTCCTCTCTCATACTCTTGAACTTAAAATTCAATATTTTTGTTTCAAAATTAATTCAACTTTAATTTTAACTATTTTTTGTAATATTAAAATTTTATATATTCTTTCAAATCATTCAATTGTCAAATGATTTATTAAATAATTGAGAGTATTTGACAATATACTGTACATGTCAATTATATATTAAAACCAATATTATCATAATGCATTTAAATTGCATAAAACCTACATTAAATGTAATATGTTTTTATAAAAATTGTAATTAACAATAAGACAATTAATATGAACAGAGAGTGCATTCGCACGGATTGAAGATTGCGGTTAATTCAATGCATCGATTGCCTGCAATTTTTCACTAAATTTACACAACAAGTGGTAATTTCACTGTTTATATAAACCAAACACTTAAATACTACTGAAAAAACCTATTTATAGAGTGACTTCTTTTGATTGTAATCATTTGATAGTTAATGGTCTCCAATAATAGCTCTTTTACTATAAAAAGTACTGAAATTTTTACAATATTTTTTCAATTAAAACCATGAATTAATTTAATTTGTATTTGTATTCGCGTTTCGTGTAATCATGTAATCATTTAAAAACAATACTCAAAACTTTATACAAAAACCATTCTTAACAAACATGTAATCAGATTCTAGAGCTCTTTTGCTTAACTAAATGTTAACACAAAAATAACTCAAAAGTTTCAAAATACAAATAAATTAATGTAAAACATGAGGGAATTTGAAAGAAAAAACACTAAAAGCACAGAATTATTACAATAAAAACCTTTTTCTTCTGATTTGATTAGAGAAATGTGTCACAAATGTGTTGAGTGTTAAACAACTTGTTTCTTGTTGTTGTCTAACCTTTATATTGAATAGAAAGGCAAGTATTTTCTTATCAAAAGCATTCGGCTATAAAGAGCCGATTCGTATCAATTCTATAGCCCCGGAAGAAAAATGCATCGATTAGGGGGTGAAATAACTCTAAATAGGATTTAACGGCAAAAATACTTGTTTTACACACCGTTTTGATGCCGAAAGGCTCTAATTTGACTTCAATGCGAAAACATTTCGCCTTTTTCTCTGCTATTCATTCATACATTAGCTCCGATTCGACCGCAAAAAAGTGAACTTCAATTCAATTCTTGACTTTGCGTTTGAGAACTCATTGAAAAGTCTCGTCACTTCTCATTAGAGTTGTGATCGCGATTCTGTTCACCACTTATCTCAACAACACTTCTCTCTCATAATTGTTGCTCATATTAATACATATTGTGTAAACAACTGTCCCTTTTATGTTGACACTATTTTGTCACTTAAAAGTCATTGAGTTTTGTTAATCGTGTTTTAAAATTAATTGTTTTCAATAATTGTTAACTAAATAAAGGAAGACATGAATCAACCGATCAAAGAATTTGTTGCCGAATGTTTGGGAACTTTGATTTTAGTGGTAAGTGCTCTTCATTTTGGTTATTATTTGAATGGATGATTAAAACAGTTATATACAGACATTAGGCTGTGGAGCAGTTGCTGCCAATGTATTGAAAGGATCGAGTGATATATCAATTGGTTTGGGATTTGGTATCGGAGTACTCATCGGTGCCGTCATTGCTATACCTATTTCTGGTCAGAATTAGATTTGGTTTTATAATAAATAAGATTATGTAATAAAATGTATTAAATAAATACAATTAGGCGGTCATCTCAACCCAGCCGTCACTATAGCTCTTTGTTCAATAAGAAAATGCAATTGGAAAAAGGCTTTATACTATATTCCGGGTAAGTCTCTATAAAATATAAATAAAACGGCAGGAAATTCAATAACATAACACTTTTATTGCATTATATTTGCAAAATTTAAGTTAAGCTTTAAGTCATATATGTTTTAAAATTTAAATCATATTTTATATGTGATGTATAAAAAGTGATTGTATTTATTGATCGGTTCATTAGTGGGGATAAACATATATAATTTTGTGTACGATTTATGCATACGAATAGCTCAATACATCGGGGCTTTCTTGGGATCAGCCATTGTGTACGGCATATATCATCAGGGAATCCAAGAATATGAGAATGAATTTAGAAAACTGGCTGAAAATTCAAACTCCACTTTCGACAAAGTGGGTCTCACGGGAGGCATATTTGCTACATATCCGCAAACATATCTGACCGTCGGTCAGGTGTTGGCCGACCAGATATTCTCGTGCGCTATACTTATGATCGCAATACTGGCCATCACTGACGAGAAGGGCATTAATACTCCCCGAGCTCTCCAACCACTGAGTATAGCGCTTGTTGTCTGTGCACTCATCATATCCTATGGCTTCAATTGTGGCGCTACACTAAATCCTGGTAATTATGATTATTTAATTCTTTCAATGTTTTTTATTTTTCTCTTACTATTGGAAAACAATTGGGTTTTATTTTTATTTAAATTTACATTAATTTGTAACAAAATAATTAACTTTAAGTTTGAGTTTAAGTTTTACTTTTGTTTTTACAATAAGTTTTTAGTAAATACTTTACAATTTGTATAAGAAGTAGAAAATGAGAGACAAGTTTTGCTTTCCTTTCGACAGTTCATTCTTCTATAGCTTTAGGACTATATTAATCCCAAATATCATTAAAAGTGACTAAATTTTATTAAATTTTTAGTTCAGTTGAGTATAAACTTCCCGATAGATTATTTTTATTTATTTTTTTAGATTAATCTGTTAATAAGTTTATAACTATAAAATTATGTCATTTTTCTAATTAAACAAACATTTATAACACGACATCCATTATACTTACGAAAACTTGGTTTATATCGTAATATAAATAAAGACCAAAAATTAATTCGTGATAATTATCCGAAAAGTTGCCTCAATAAGAGGTTTATATTTTTAACTCTCATCGAAATCATCACATTCTCACTCAATAGCTTTTAAATTGCTATTATTAATAACCATTTCATTTGAATCCCTTTTGGCGCAAAACTATTTATACTATTTATAATTAATATTGAAATTATGCAATAATTTACTAAATTTGTATTTAGAGTACATATACTATACATAAGGAGATATTGTATGGATTATTAATAGAATTGAAAATTCTTTAATTTAAATGATTTTATTGAATACCTTTAAGTTAAACATATAATTAGTTTGTTAAACAGTTTCACAAATAAATGTTTATAATTATTTCATGTCAAGTATTAGAAGGTTCATAAAAATGATGATTAATTAATTTTTTATATCTTTTAATTAAAATGATTTGTTATAACAAATGATAAACAATTAGAAATAACGTACACTATATTTAACACTCGTTTGATATCTATTGATGTCATTCACGAAATTAGTTTTATATTTCGTATATAATTTGTGATTAACAAAAAACTTATCCAAAAATCTTATGTAAAGGACTTCTTTAATATTTAATGTAAATATTTCTTAAAAATTAAAAATAAAATCCAAGTCATGACAAGATTTTTGTTATACAAATAGATTTAAAAACTCATAAAACTTTTTATAAGAGATGCTTATGTTTGATATGATTAAAGAATTGATTGTTTAGATTAGGGATGAGTTGTTTGAAATATTTGAAACCAAAGGACTCACAAATCATTGAAATAAATTATATCTGATTTATATTTGATATAAATTATAGCATTGAATGTAAACTACACAATGATTTGACTCTTCAATTCAAATACCATTAGATTTGAGTTAATTGTGAACTAAATTACCAAATCCTCTTCCCTTATAAGTAGTTCAGGTTTTTATTGATTATATAAGACTCGAGAGAAAAACCTAATACACATTTTTATTCAAACATATATTTAAACATCTATTAAGTTTAATATTTTTATTTCTATTCTCTATATAATTATTAGTATAGAAATTAATTATTTTATTCACACATTTTGCTCAATACAACTCAAAATCAATGCCGTTATATAAAACCATTGCCATATCATCACAACATTTGCATTAATTTTATTATTAAACAAGAGTTGATAAACTCTTTATAATTACTGATAAGAAATATATATAATAATTAAATTGTCAAATGTATTAATACATGGTCTGTTTGCAGCCCGTGACTTAGCCCCCAGAGTTTTCACCGCACTCGCAGGCTATGGACTCGACGTTTTCAAGTATGTTATTTAATTAATTAGCAATTTTAATATTTTGTGAATTCAAAACTGATTATCTAATTGATCTATAAATCAGACCATTGGAAGGTCAGTATTGGTGGTCGGCTGGTCTGGTGGCCCCGCATATCGGCGCTATCATCGGTGCCCTTATCTATGCGTTAGGCATAGGAATGCATAACAATAATAGCGACGATTCCAACGCAAGTCTCAGTACATTAGTTACGGTTCCCATCACTAAGAATGATGTCATCTTTCAAAGAGGTTTGTCTCATATCAACCATCAGTAGTTTTGCCATCGAATTAATGGCTATTTTTATTCATTTAATTAATTGTGTGTTTATTTTTAAAAGCTCGACAAGTGATCACCGAAAACATGAAAGTGTCGCCAATGGATATCGAGAGAGAAATGCATAGAAATTACTAAACATATTCTTAAATTATAGTAAATGCATGTATTTTTACCATTAAATCAGTTGTTTGTATGAAATGAGATCACAATAACGCTGTCGGCTGTTAATAATAAAAAGCTAACTTTTTCATCAATTGATTGCCTTTTATTTACTTCTTTTGTTGTTTAGCCAAAATTCAAAGTCCTTTTTGCAATTTATTTCCTATTAAACTCTTTTATTACATTTTATCATTGATTTGTTATAAAAGAGCAAAAAGAGTGTATTTTTCTCGTAAAACAATTCTTGCCTTTCAATCGATTATTATTACGAAAACGAAATTTAGTTTTAAAATGAATTCATAAAAAACAATGTTATCGTTATGTTATTATTATTATTTCAAGATCTGATTGCATAGCAAACGGGGTAATTGTTGTTATAATTATTGTTGTCTTTTTAGTATTATTTTAATACTCTTTCAATAACTTTAGAAAAAAATTATCAAAAGATTTAAAATTTCATTACTTTGATCTAAATTTTATGTGAAAAATTGTTATACATTATCAATAATTATTGTTGTCTTTTTAGTATTATTTTAATACTCTTTCAATAACTTTAGAAAAAAATTATCAAAAGATTTAAAATTTCATTACTTTGATCTAAATTTTATGTGAAAAATTGTTATACATTATCACATATTTTGTTATATATTTTTATATATTGTTTAAATTTTATTGCATTTTCAATATAAACCATTGAAATTACTTTATATCCACTTTCAATGTACTTTTATATTCAATTTTATTGCAAATATTTGTTTATTTCAAAAATATTAATATATTTATTATCAATAAAATTATTATTGATTTTTGTTTCATTTTGTTTATCTCATTGTATAACACCTTTTAACAGAAAAACTAAAACTAAAATATAGTTTACGTGTAATTATAATAAGAAACGAGAGCTGAACTTGAAATCCGTCAAACAATTAGTTGTTGACTTGAAAATCAATTTCAATTAACGATTATCTGATATAATGAACGCCAGAGTGTTGTAAGCGTTCACTAATAACACACTTAAACGAGAGGTGAATAGTATTTTATCAACAATTAAATCAAAAGCACTGCTAATCACTTCATATCGCTATTAACTATTGTT